AGTAGTACTGTAGTGCGCGGTTCCCCGCGAGTCATGCTTTTCGTAGTAGGACCGACGGCAGTGCAACCCGAGCGCGGTTTCCTACCGGCACCCCATTAGCCCCCAGGGACGGTCGTGAGTCACGACAGTCCTGGGTGTCGGTCGGGCAGGGGGGTAGGGGCGTTTACGTTGCAGAAACAAGTTTACGCAGCGTGATGACTCGTATTCTCTGCGACGCGTGCCTCATACACCTCACGCGCGATGCCACGCGCGATGTCCCTTCCGCCGCGCGTAGCAAGAGCACAAGGCATAGAAGTAGCGGTAAAGAAATCCATGTTGCATCGTCGATTTTGCCGCGCCGTCGCGACATGGATCTCCTGAGCGCTACCCTACCGTCTCTTAACTCTTGTGTAAAATTGCATGAACTCTTCTTCATTATTGGTCGAACGACTGGGAATACTTTGTCATTACATTGTGTTTTAATTTTACCGTGAACTTTATTAATTCTGTTTTAAGGTGGTAAAGAAGATGCCAGGAAAATTGAGCCGAGAAAAGGGGCAACATCTCCGACCATTCCTGCTTACTGTACTCGCTAATACACTGTATACGCAGGAGAAAATAGAGTTCAAGGAGAAATTCGCTCCGTCCGAGTCGAGGTCAGAATTTTTTCATTTTGATTTATTTTTGTTGTTTTAATTTTTTTTTCGCCAAAATGAAAGTTTTTTTTGCAGCAGTTTGTCATCTTTGAGTGTCGGTGGAGATCAGTTCAACACATCATTCTTTAATCCATTGTTTGGTAATAATTGCTTTGGATGTAAGATAGCCGAGGTTGAAGGTGATACTAAGCACACCTGGTCGAGGTTTGTAGATTTTGTAATTTTGGCTATTTTACAGTGCTAGACCAGTTGGAGGTGAGACAGTGGGCGGGGTTAGACAATGAACTATTCTTTTCGGGTACTTCTATCGAGGTGAAACCGCTGGGAAGGCAAACTCTGAGCGACTAATACTTCATGGAATTGGCTGGGCGAACGGAAAGTGGCTGTGACCCGGTCTTGCCTCCCCCCCCCCCTCTCTTCTCCGACATGTGCGGGCACTATTTTGAACTCCTCTCGAGTGTATGTCTTTTTAGAAGTTTTACGGATGGTATTTCATTGCTGCTGTTTTCAATTATGTCGCATACGTCAAAATGGACATTAAATGTTCACTCAGCTCTGAGGTAATTTAATTGTTTTTTCTCACACACTGAGTACTCACTAATGCTACTGAAATTCGGTTTTTGCACATCTGCTCGTGTGGTACGTGCGGTCGCATAGCGGCTTGCTCGACGGGTCAATCGATTATTCTGCCTGACCGTGCGCGTTCCACCTTAGAGCACGTTTGTACTTCGCGACTTGGTCGCTTTGATCGCGCGAGCGTTTGATCGCTCTGTTTGCGCGTGCGATTTGATCGCGCACGGCTGAATGCGAAAAGGCCGAGAAGTGACCAAGTCGCTCGCGCGATTACAGCGCCCGTGTCGCGAAGTATGAACACACTCTTGCCACACACAGTTCTGGAATTCGCTCAAACCTAGAGCGTTTTTTTCGGCACTAAAATTCCGCTGGGCTTCGCGAAGGCGTCTCCGTACGTTATAATTCTCTGATCTCTTTGTTTGTTCATTGTTTTTTAAACACATTTACGCCGGTTTCTAACGTTTCAGGATGTTATGCCGTAATACGATCGATTATTTGATGCTTCATCTGCTAAAAAGGCTCTACTGGATCTTGTTCAGCGAAGTAAATCTAGTAACAATCACCCAGCTGATTCAAACGGCAATTTTCTGTTCGGATGGATCGCTGCCTTCCGATCAGGAGAAAAGTCTTCGAGAAGAGCTGGCTACAAGGCGGGCGCTGGAGTTCGCTCAAGAAGAGGTAAAGGGTTGTTTCATTGAGCGTCAAGGATTCAAAGACTCCTGGTCTTGCTTCAGATGCCGTCATGCGTGCTACGAGTACTCGATTCGAAAAGTTGGCGTGGTGGAGTGAAAAGATTGGTGAACACCCTGCAGTATCCTCGGCTTAACAAACATCTCTCGTATCTTCTTGTTGACCTGCTTGTCACAAAGCTTTTTCCTGAAGATTTGTCATAAGAAACATCTACAGTCTTGTTCGCTGCAGACGCTGGGGCGTTTCGAGGGCTTGGTTTAGTACGGCGCCTGTCTGTTTTCCACCGAATTGTGGTCAACTGCCAGCTTCTGCAAGTGGTGGAGAATGGGTTGACGCCACGCGAAACCCAGTCCCTCTGACCTCTGCCCCATCATCCGCAGCGAACAAAATGTGTTAATTATTTATTCTTCTACTCGGTGTTGTGATAGTCTTGCCATAGTATAATAAACTCGTGATCTCATAGTTCATCCTCGCATCAATGGACATCAAGGACATGCTTTCCCAAAGAATGCTGTTCTCTTCGTGCCAGGTGGAAGAGGGTCAAGACAATCGTAATTTGCGGCGCTGTCGCGTGCAGAACACGGTGCGGCCATGAGCGCGATGTTCTTTTAATAGGTGTTGGTCTGCAGATCGGAGTAGCAGCCTTCGTGTAGACTATAACATAGCGCACATTTGTGCAATTTCTTATACGCCTTCTATTGCCGCCCTCCACAAGCTGGAAACCTTGTACCTCGTCCTTTGTGGGCGCGACGCCTACAGCATATTACAATTGCCTCGTTATATAGCTGAGCCAGGAACGCCGTGGTAATTCGGCACGAAATTCCCGAAAGATAAAAACTCGGTCCCAAGGAGACTTGCTCACCAGGTAACCACACCCACCGGATAACTCCGCCCATGCCGCGCTGTGTTGAAAGAGACACCGTTAGGAACGATAGCGATGACATTCCGTTTCTGAGAGAGAGACATGCTGTGAATGCCGGCAATAACTGAAGGCAGTAGGCGAATCAGCTAGTGGGCAGGCATCAGCCTATGCGTGGTTGGTGCGAAGGCGTTGACCCACCCCTAATCGCTCGAGATGGAAACTCTAGAAACTCCCTTCCATCGATGACGCTTGGTTTGCCCCACCTTCCAGGCAAGGGCTTGCTGCTTTGAATTGTCTGAGAGGTCTTGAAGATCCAGGGCGTGTACACTCGAGATCCCTGAGATCGGGTAGGCGTGGCCGCATGTTTCAACTTACCCTTAAGGCTTCTACGCTTCTGATGCCATATTTTCATCTCGACACAATTGTTGTCGTGTCTCTGTCCAACGCAGAACAAGATGACAGTTGTCCCAGACTGGAATATTCCACTAGTAACCAGTTTGTGTGTCTTCCTTCTTGGTGCCCTCTCTCCTATCCTTTAGGAGGAAGCGACGAACCAATGAAAAGGCACTAAAGAAGAAGCCCAACAGTTGTCCGTTCTGCGATCAGCACGGGCTGCTCTTTCAAGTATAGTTTTTGATGGGAGACGTACCCGTGCGACAGCACGTTCCAAGAACTCGACGCAAGCG